CGAGACAAGATTTCATGTTTATATATACTTTTCTGATAGGCTCGCCTTTGGTTGGTATTAATAAACTCGCACGGTATGTTAACATCAATTACGCAAGGATATCCTTTGGTATTTATAGTTACACAAAAACTTTTAACGGACATTGGTTTTATCAAACCTTTTGGTGGATGAATTTCCACGAGAATTATTCCAGGAATCTCATGTCTGTAAGCAATAAAGAAGTATTCATTCCAATTTATGGAAAGTCTATTTTAGACCGACGAAATAATAATCTATTCCGAATGTAATTCAGTTCAGGGCAACAAACCTTTTCCATTTATAAGCGAATACATCATGCACCGTATTATTGTGCATCATAATCATTTTCACTACGTGACTGTGTGTAGCTACATTTGAAATATCTATACATTCAATATTGAAATATATAGGAATATCGTCATCTTTGAAGGTACATCCCGATGGCACGTATTCTCCAACTGTTGTTAATTTATGTGGCAGGGAAGATTCGCCTTCTAATATTAATTCTTTCCCTTCATCGCCTAAAACTAAGGATAACTTCCCCTGTTTGGAGAAAAGAAGATTTATTATTTTTTGGGATAAAAAACATGTTTAAACAATTTTGTCATTAAAAGAATTTGTTTGTTATACGAGAACCTTAAAAACTCCGAATTGTCGTGGCTGAAATTTTAGGAGAATTGGAGCAGAAGATTGCGGATTCACCATTGCTTGTGGAATTACATAAGAAAAAACCTCGTAACAATACTTCTGATTTATTTTGCACATTTCTTTGGGATTTATGGAAAATGGGATGCTGTGATTTGTACCATTGTGCACCCAACATACCTGAAAATTTTTATATTATAATTATAAAATATATTACGAATATAATACTGTAAAATATACAATAATCACAAATATAATATTGTAAAATATACAATAAATATACAAAAATGCAATAAAACCTGATAAGCAGGATTCCTTTCTCCAAGGTAAACGTGTTGGAATTTAAAATGTGTGCCGTTTAAAAGACAGAGTTCATTTTTAGACTCGGGTAAACTTTCGATTGTCATAACTAAAAAAATATGACGATTATCTCCTAAATCTATGTCCCATTTTGCATCAGTCTTTCCTAATAATACGTAATGCAGCTCTAGAGTTATCCAATCCTTCTCGTTTGGCTGTATTTTGTTTAAGCATGAGAAATAACGATAATAAATCAATAATCACAAATTTATGTAATACTGTAAAAGATTATACTTCAAGGTTTCCTGTTCTTGGCAATATAGAGCACACTTTTCTGTGCAAACAATCATACTTCGCACGTGTGAATGAAATGCCTCGAGGTCTTGCAATAGGTCGACAAGAACAAAGTTGCACTCTTTTTACATTCCATGAAGCAATCACTGCGGTTACATTCATCAGCAGCAATTTTATAATAATCGGGCTCTTGTGTAAAACCGTCGCAGGGAAATTTACGTGCAGCGTTTGTGACGTCCCCGGTTGTAAATTTCTAAGTAGTGTATTAAGCCTAAAAATATAATTTTTAAATTTGTAATTTGTGCGGATAATCGAAATTAATAAAATAATATGAATTTCAGCATACGTATTCATTTTCATATGCTTCCAAAGAAAAGCTTTGCTCATTTCCGCACAAGGCCCGTAAGATTGCAAATCCATCACCTGTTGTTCAATACAGCAAATTTGATGAAATTTTGTCATTAAATATTCTCTATAAAATAATGCTATGCTATGCTACCCATATTTACCTTTAAAGTAGGTAACACACACAAAGAACGCAGTTTACAAATATTTCTTGATGTCTGATTCGGAATTAATGCATCCGTGTGAGGGCTTATCCTTACATAATATTGAACGAAAAGTTCGTAATATCCTGGCGTAGAAGGTGTGACAGAAAGTGATTGTTTCATCTTGTCCAGCGGAAACAGTCTCTGAGTTTGGATGTATTTTTACATCATGCTCTATGCACCCGATAGGCCAATTACAATGTTTACACGTTATCTTGTAATAAATGTTCACGGGACTCATGTTGAATACGTGAAAACTTAATTCTTTTGTAGTTTTGTACGCCTGAATTCCGAAATTTAATTCGTCGGGCACTGACTGCATAATAATATGTGTTACTGAAATTATTTAATTTTTTATATAGATTGTGACTTATCACTAATATTTACCACAAGAAAACCAAATTCACATCTTCCTATTACACGTAACGTTACACAACGCTGGGGCCAACAGGAATTTTATCTTTTAACACAATTAAATTGCAATTT